CAAACTTTGAGTTCCGAGCACCATCAAAATGTTACACTCGGTGCTCACTCACACAAGCGCAACCGTATTCGTGTGCTGCGCAGAGACTCTGCGCAGCACACGAATACGGTTGCGCTTGTGTGAGTGAGCACCGAGTGTAACACTTTGATGGTGCTCGGAACCCAAAGGTTGCATCACTGCACAGAGTGAGAAAGCGTTTAACTTCGCAGCGTCCCGCAGCAATAAATTCAGACCTGTTGTCTTTCCGCGTGACTGCTCTTGTGTCGCTAACAAAGACTTGTTAAAAAATTTTATTTTAAAGCAAAAAGTGTATTATATTTTTTATCGGAATTAAGATTACATCAAGTGTTCAAAAAGTTACACATTTGTCCCAGGGCTATCTACTGCAGAAAGTAAGGTTAGTACCGTTTATATGCGTCAACAAAAATTGCTTTGGTGTTTATTTAGAATACGCGCCTCACCTCCAATATCAATAAAATTATGCTCAATCGATGCGTTTTTGCACGAAACGAAAGAAATCTGGCAGAAAAACGCGGCGATCTGCCTTGCGAAGCGAGATATATTAATCGTTATAAAGTTGACGATTTGATAAGTTATGAAACCTGCTATATCAAGAATACTTCGCATTTATACTTACTAAAATATGCAGATCGCCGCGTTTTTCTGTCAGATTCTTTCGTTTCGTGAAAAAACGTGTCGATTGAGCATAATTTTATCGATATTGGAGGTGAGACCCGTATTCTAAATAAATACCATTATTACTTCATAAATTATCAATAAAATCTTTAATAATTAATAAATTTTTATATATTAATATTTTAAAAATCTCAATGTAAAATCTTAATAATTTTTAAAAATTATTTTAAGATGTCGGAACTAGCCGATATTAATAAACTGACTCGAGACTTCGTAGTGGTAAAATTTGAGAAAGAATGATAAAGAAGGGCATATGATATTGGAACTTGTACCTTCAGTCTGGTTGATCAGTATTGCGGATAATAAATGGAGATGCAGGTGGCCTATGGATGGTGCAGTAGATGACGTACAAAAGTGCATTAAAAATCTAATATCTGCTGATGAGAAGTGGCCGGCATACGAAGTGGAAATAGTTTCTACCGCAAGTATGTAATAATTTATTGCATTTAATTGTGTTTATTTTGATAATGTGTACAAATATTTTTCAGAGGATCATGATCAAGGTATGCGCAGATTGAACCGAGCATTGAAGCGTAAATGCGAAGATCGATTCTACGGACGGTGATGCAGTTAAATCTTATGAACCGGAAATTCTAAGCAACAGTGCTGCGAGTAAATTGTTGAATAAAAAAACGTTACTTCGAACGATATCTGAAAGGCTAGAAGAAGCGCCTTTAAGTGATGAAAGGCCGATTCAAAAGAAGACAACTGATAGCAGTAAGTTATGATTTTTAAATTTTATACTCTCGAATGCTATATATCATATTTGTATTATTTTACTTGTTATTTTATTATTTCAGGAAGTTTCAGAAGAACCAATCAACAATTAGCAAGTGACCGTATTCAAGAGTTGCGTGAAGGAATTGATTCGGATTTAAAAGGTAATCTAATTTCATTATTTTAATCGATCTTATCTAATATGTTTTTGTATTTATTCCGTGGTTAAATTTTAACTATTTGTTAACGTATCAACGCCTCTGTCTTACAACCCGGGAAGAAATGGAAAAGATCTGAATAGACCTGATCAGATCAAATCAGATCCAATTCGCTCAGATCTGATTTGATCAAAATATTGGCCCTATCTGATCAGATTTAATCAGACATGAGTAGATCTGATCCGGTCCTAGCGGACAGAGTCAGATAGGATAAGAATAATTTATGTCTGATCAGATTCAATCAGACATGAGTAGATCTAATCTGATCCTAGCGGATGAGGTCAGATAGGATAGGAATAATCTATATCTGATCAGATCCACTCAGACATGAGTAGATCTAATCTGATCCTGGCGGACGAGGTCAGATA